AAGGATGGGTGGGCGGAGAAGCAGCAGAATTTGAGCGAACGCTCGGGCAAGGTCAGGATGTAAAAGAAAGGCGGAGTTGGGAAGTCGGCTGTACCGCGTCTGTCCTTCCTAAACGGCACCATATATTCCTTTTCTTCAAGCTTTTTGCCGCTGGGGCAGCGAGTAGGCAGAGTTTTTGCGCGCGGCGGTGGCATAGCTTGTTGACCCCCTAGAGCGCGGTCCGTGCCCTGTTTTCCACTGGGCGCCCTCTTCTCTGTTCCTCAGCATATGTATTAATTCTGGTTCGTCTCGCCCGTCGGAGAGCGATCTGAGCGGCGCGGCGGAGGAGCGGCCTGGCGCGTGCTAATTTTACCTAACTTGAAGAGCGCTGCTGAGGGTCGACGGCCCCCGGCACAGACAAAGACGAAATCGGATTAGGGACCGCGCAGGCGTTACGGACTCACTCCCGGGCGCTACCATTGCCTCCCCCGCGCGCGCTGCGGCCCGTCGCAAAACCGCCCGGACCCCCGCCCCGCCCCGCCACCGCCGCAACCGCACGCCTTCTCTGCCGTCCACGGACCAGCCTAAGCCCGGCCTAAATGCGCTACTTCGTTTTTGAGCTGTGCCTGCCGTTCTGACTTATGCACTGCTCCTCTCGCCTCATAGACTGACTCAGGTTTCCTGCGTCTATGGTGACGCAGGGCTTCGGATTCCTCATTGTTGGTTTGTCTCCCCGCCCCGCGCTCAGGTTCATTCTGGCTATTACATTATGTGGGCCTGTTTGTAAGATTCTTTTCTTTCTACTATCCACGCTGCCCGCTTCTAACTTTTTCACTTTCCTCCAACATTTCCTTATTTCCTTTCTCTCTAATTCATCAGACATTTTGTCTCTCTCTTACCAAGCTATAATTCTAATTGTCTCTTCCTCTTCTCTTCTCTCTACTCTCTTATACTCCTTCTCTCTCCCATCTCTCTCCTCGTCTCTCTCTTCTTCTTACCTATACCCGGGTCACACATTTTTTTTACTCCTTTCCGCACCATCCTCTCTCTACTTACTATTTTTTGTTCTCTTCAATCATAATCTTTCTCTTCTGCTGTCCCTCGGGTAGCTTCCTTTTTCGTGTCCCTGGACATTCATTTCCTGTCTCTAAAACGACGCCAGAGGTTTCATTCTCGCTCGGGCTATTTTATAATACTCAGGATTTAAAAAATTCTCTTTGTAATCTTTCCTCACGGCCGGTCCCATTCGTCAATGTGCTCGCTTACTCTACGAATATCCATTGATCTCTTTAATTTTTCATTTCGCTTTTGTTTCTATGCCCTTATTCTCTATCTTCATGCACTTCTTGTCCCCTATTCTCGTGGAACCAGCTTTTCCAAATTTTAATTTTTCCCCTCTGATCCCCTTCATATCTATAGAATTGTGTGTCTTCGTCTCTCTTCCTCCACATCATCGTACTGATGCTGACCATTTACAGAGGTACTATGTGATGAACTGACTTTTAAGCACGCTCCATCTTTCTTTGCTACTCGCTGCTTCTCTCTCCTCTCTCTCTCCTCTCTCTCCATCCTGGAGAGTCTCTTCTCTCACTCTCTCTCTCCTCTCTCTCGTCCTCGCCCTCTCCTCCTCCTGCTCTCTCCTCCTCTCCGGCTCCTCTTCTCCCCTCTCCTCGGGTCTCTCTCTTCTCCTCGTCCTCTCCTCCTCTCGTCTCTCCTCTCTCTCTCCTTCATCCGTCCTCCCTCGCTCATCTCCCATCTCTCTCTGCGCTACCCTCTCTGCTCTCACTCCTCTCCTCTCTCCTCCTCTCTCTCTCTCAGAGCTCTCATCAAAGTAGTCCTCTCTACTCTCTCTGCTCTTCTCTCTCTCTGCGTCTAACGCTCCTCTCTTCCTCCTCCGTTCTCTCCTCCTTCTCTCTCCTTCTCCTCCTCGCCCTCTCTCTCTCGTCCTCTCTCTCTTTCCTCTCTCTCTCCTCGCATTCATCGCACGTCCCTCGGCTCACGGATCTCTCTGCAATCCTCGTCTCTCTCTCAATCTTCGTCCTACTCTCTCCCGTCTCTCTGCTTCTCTCTCGTCTCCTCTCGTCGCTTGCCGTGCCCTCTATCCTCTCTCCTCAGATATCTGCACCGCGTACATACCGGCTCTGTCTCTCTGCTCACTCTCTCTTCTCGCGATACCGTTCTCTATTCTCCACTAATCACCCAACTCAAATTAATTCATCACATCTACCATAAATAAACAATCTATCATATTCTCCGAACCATCTCCAATTCATCTAACTCCTCTCTCCTCGTCTCTCATACTCCTCTCTCTCTCTCTCCTCTCTCTCTCCTCTCCTCTTCTCTTCTCCCCTCTCTCTCTCCTCTCTCTCTCTCTCCTCTCTCTCTCTCTCCTCTCTCTCTCCTCTCTTCTCTCTCCCACCTCCTCTCTCTCTCTCTCTCTCTCTCTCTCCTCTCTTCTCCTCTCCTCTCTCTCTCTCTCCTTCTCTCTCTCTCCTCTCTCTCTCGTCTCCTCTCTCTCTCTCTCCTCTCTCTCTCTCCTCTCCTCTCTCTCCCTCCTCTCTCTCCTCTCTCTCTCTCTCCCTCTCTCTCTCTCCTCCTCTCTCTCCCTCTCCTCTTCTCTCTCTCTCCCCCTCTCTCTCCTCTCCTCCTCCTCCTCTCTCTCTTTCGCTCTTTCTCTCTCCCTTCTCTATCATCCTCTCTCTCATTTCTAGACTAATCTCAAGAATCCTCTCTCTCCTTCTCCTTCCGAAAATATAGTGAGAAAAATACTCTCATTCATAGAAATTATTCGCTTCTCCTTCTGATATCTCACCTCGCTCTCTCTCTCCTCTCCTTCTCGTATCTCTCTCGTAGCGTCGGATCTCTAGATCGTCTCATCTCACCTCCTCCTCTCTCTTTCATCTTGCGAGACAACATCCCAGTCAATCTGGGAGCAACTCCACTCTAACCTCTCTACTCCTCACGACTTCTCCTCCCTCTCTTCTGTCAATCCGATCCATCTACCCTCCTCTCTCTCAAATGTAGTCTTTTACTGCGGTCTTAAACTACTCTCTCTGGCGTATAAATATCCTACTCATTGAAGAATTTTTTTATTCGGATAAGAATCTCTATCCAACAACTGTACATAAAAATCAATTAAGAATCAGCTCTCCTCTTTCTCTCCTCCCTCTCCTAATTTTACATCAATTCTTACATTCCTCCTCGTCTCGTTCCTCTCCTCTCTCTCTCTCTTCCCTTCTCATCTCTCTCTTCTTCCTCTCTCTTTCCTCTCATCTCTCTCTCTGTACCTCTCTCTCTCTTCTTCCTCTCTCTGATATCACGTATGTTTTTAGGTGGTAGCAAGATTCACTCCTCCTCCTCCGTCCACCCATCCTCCTCCTCCGTCCACCCATCCTCCTCCTCCGTCCACCCATCCTCCGTTCCAACAAAGTTCCTTGTTAAAGTATCACGGATCTGCTATACTCCAAGGGTTCTTTTTTGTGTAGTCTATCTTTCCTCCATCTACTTTTCCTTTGTCCACTCTTCTCTACCAACCCGTCTCTGTCTCCCCGTCCTCCCTACACTGTTCTGCCTTCTACTGTTTTCTCTAGTACTCTTTCTTCCCTTCTCCCTCCCTGTCTGCTCCGCCTTCTCCTAATATCTCTATCAATTTCTTCTTGTTGAGATTTCCCCTTTATTCTATTTTCAGTTCATTCCGAAAAATTAGCGCATTAAGTGCAAGCAGAAAATAAAGCCCAATGGGCTATTTTGACAAGGGAGTAACAGTTGTATGTCCCGTGATGACCAAGTGTGTCTCGGCTAGCGAGAAGGCTTCAACAGCGGTTTAAATGATGTGTAAACAACCACAAAGGGGTTCTTTCTCGAAGACTGAAAGGATTAAACAAAGAGTACAGCAAGACTCCGGCAATGTTGAAAATACGCCAGAGTCATACGAATCGTAAAAACTGTTTATAATTTCCACTCAACTCATTTGCTACGTTGTTTTAAATGGGAACACTGCAAAATTCTAATGACAAAAACATTCAATTTACCCAAAGCACTTAAATTTCATAGCAAACAGACAATTAAATTAAGCTTGATAGACGGTTCAAAGAGAGAAATAAGACATGTTAGAATTTTGAGGTGCCTTTTTTAATATTTCAGGTTGTACCGCCGTGCGATATAAAGACCTTTTCCCCCAAAACGCAATGCGCGGCCGCGCGACTGACCTCCGTAGTAAATGATGCTCTTCTTGGCGTGGTAGTTGGCCTCCGGGATGCGCAGCTCGCAGTCGAACACCGTGGGCGACTGCAGCGTGCGCTCGTCCAGCAGCGCGCTCGCCGTGATGTCGAACACGCCCCCGCGCCGCGCCGTCCGCATGCTCACCCTGCAGGCACACACCACATGCGCATGCTCACCACCGCACCCACGGGGAGGAAGGAGCGCCGCGCCGAAAACTGGCAGCTAGTGCACGGAAGGAAGGACTACCTAAGCGTCAGAGCTCGTACAGGAAGAACTCTTCACCACTAGAGATGTGTACGGAATGAAACAGCACTACACCAGGAGATAGTTTAACTAGAGATTCATACCACACCACGAGATCAGCACACATGCAGAAAGACCACATTACCACGCGATTCTTACACTAGAGATGAATAGAGAAGGAAGCAGCGCAACTAGAGATCATTACACTATAGATGTGTACAGATGGAAAACATACCACACCACGAGGTCACCACATACAGAAAAAAGCACTTTACTACGAGATCGTTTCCTTGATATGAATATAGAAGGAAATAGAACACCGCGAGAAGATCAGCGCACATGCAGAAAGAACCCTTAACCTCGATATCGTGTCCTTGCCTCGCCTCATCACGACAACACACGACATCAAAATGCGCGTGAACTCTGATAATTTCTCAGAAAGTCTTCTCTGTAGATAATTTTATTCGATCTAGTACATCTCATTTGCTCTACTTACTGTCTATACCGGGAATCTCCAATTTGCAAGACCTCACGGGTCACAACTCAAAACTTTAATATATTTTCCTTACTCGAGCGATCCACATCTGACGTCCCCGTAATGTTGATCTCGACACTTTGCCCGACTCCTCTGAAAGGGTGTGTGTGAAACAATGCGTGATATCAAACCGTACCATGCATAACGTAGTGAATCAATTTGGGATGATTTTTTTATTTCTGAATTTACTAAAAAATCCTTTAAGTCTAAACTTCACGTGTTTTTTACATCAAAGGGGGTATTGACCCCCAGCTGGGCGCGTGCGATAGGTAACAATGTTCACACGCGAAATGGTTGTACGGCACTTTCACTATTGTCTAATAAACTTTCGCGGGCAACAATGATAGCGTGGGCCGCCACTTGGACAACCTTGATTTATTTACTATCTCCATCATTATCATCATCATTACCACCACCACCACCACATAAAAACAACAAAAACAAGATCTAAGACACACGTCAAGAACGCATGACCTCCCTATCTTATCACGAAAAACATCATAATACAATTACAATACACAGAAGCATAATTATGAAGAATTCATCAATTCTACGCCGTATACTTCAAACTATGACTAACTTTGAGAATTGTGAATTAGCGTTGCTAAATAAATTTACGCTTCGAGGCCTTCCAAAATGTAATCTTTCTAATTGATACACGTTTGAATTGAGAGAAAATCGTTTTTTCAAGAATTCGCTGCCTAATTTGTTTAACAATAACGGAAAGGGCAATATCGTATCCTGAATTTCGAAAATATTATAGACGTACTGCGCGATGACGCTACATGGTTGCAAAGAAGCCACTATATCTCAAGACCTATTTCACCTGTGAAGCTTTAATGCCATAGAAGTTCCTTTGAGTCTGTGGGACTCGGCATACAAAGTTTCATTAAAATCTGAAGTTGCAGTGCGGGGAGCTCTAAACCACTGGAGATGGAATGACCCAATAGAAAATATACGTACACGTTACCGAAAAATGCCTTCGTTTAAAGTAAATATAAATTTGTATTAAGTTTCAAATCTATAAACGTGGGTATAAAAAAAATTAATATTATAATCTTTACCTGTCCCAATAACTGTATTTCTTATATTCAGACTATTCAGACTTGTAACATGGAGATGCTCTTTATTTGTGTTCTGTTGTTTGATTATTTCAGTTATTTCAATCCCCCAATATGCAAGCCATCCTCCACGAACGTTACCTTTAAGATCGCCAGGATCACACAGGACCAATCATTTAAGAAAACGAAAGAAGTATTCAGCAAATATTTAGATCACTTTCACAACCACTGCTACGAGATTCGCAAAGTTATTATGTGAATGAAGGGCTATTTATACGAGTCCTTCATTCATATAATAACATGGAGTTTCTGACAGTTATCAATAAAATAGAAACATTCATTTCTTTTGCTGTATGATACATTAAATTATGGAATCATTATTCATTAGACGAACATAATTCTAAGATATTTTCAAGCTGTCAAAGTTTTGATTTGAAACATTTTCTGCAGCATAATTATATTTGAAAAAGAAATCATAGAAAACTCATGAAACGATGTAATTACTTAAGAGTGAAGTTTAATTACTCAGTTGTTTAGATCAATTTATTGTTGCATTATGACTTATAAGTTATTGTCTGTATTGTGGTAGAGTTTTAATGAAATTAGTTTCTCCTCGTGGACTGGGTGGTAAAGAAATTCAGGCTAGTTACAATAATACCCATAAACGTATTTAGCAGAATAACATGCAGCGTTAATGACTGAGCTACAGACACACAATATCCGTCGAAACTCTAACACATCCTCCGCCACAAGTCCCATTCATATAGAAACTATATTACTATTGCGCGCAACTTCCCAGCGAGCCAGAGTTTCATCTCGGAAGTTGCTCGGGGGAGGCTTGTACGCTTAAGTTGAAAATCAGAGCGCGACCAAGTAATTGGTCTTGCGCTCCTGCGAGCAGCGAGCGTTGCTCCACACAATTAGTTCGCCAAGGAGCAAACAACTCCGCGGCTCAGGCCGCTGTCGTGGAATGCGGCGAGGCAATCTCGGGATTCGCAGAAGAGGGCCAGCCGAGGGCTCCGGGTTGGCTCTTCGACTACCCAAGCAAATTGATCCACTTGAAAAGATTCCTCGAATTTGTCTCATGACTTTTAATGTTTGTTGTAGTTAATATTACAGATATTGTCAAGAAAAACTCGAAGTGTCATTTTAAGTTATATGTTTCCAGTGAATGAGTTACCAGAAATCAAGTTAAGGTTTATTGCTTAAGAAAATTATCTGTTTTAATAAATTATCGTTTAGTCGGGCTATACGAATGTCAAATTCAGGAGAAATAAATACTAGTATCTAAAAAAACAACAAAAACTAAAAAAATATCTCTCACAGATCTCGAGTAAGTTCAATACTTACTTTCTTCAAAAAATATATAATACCAATATACATTTATTTTACATTTTCCTAATTGTTCGCTTTCAATACTGTAGAACGTAAATGGTAAGGAAAAGAAAAACTAGTGGTGCACATAATGGCACAGACTTTCCCGTATTAGTTTTCTATTTCTTTTGATCTGTTAGCTATTCGAACTTGCCACATATTCTTGCCTGCTGCCATCTATCTCCGCCCAATATACATTTATTTTACATTTTCCTAATTGTTCGCTTTCATTACTGTAGAACGGAAATATTAGTTTAATTATAAAAAACTCGCCCTAAATGACAAGTTACTTTGAAAATTTGGAACTGTTTTTAAAAAACTGGCGTTTTAAACTTTACTGTAAATTCGAAATATGAAGCGCTTTTTCACAATTTTTTTTTTAATTGTCGAAAAATTTAATTTGAATAATTATAAGTATCTTAACATACAATTACAATATTATTTACAAATTGCAAGTATCTGATCGAAATGTTGAAAGGAAACATTTGGAGCCGTTTATGATAAATGGCATACGAGTGTTTCTGAAAATGCGGTGTTTTGAACTAATTTTCACAGAAAACTTGCGTTTTCGAGAAAATTTATACATAATTATTTACAGAACATGTACCTTTAAATACCATAATGTGAACAAACTGCCGCTACTATAAATATTAACGACATGAGAGTCACGTAAAAAAATAAATTTTTGTAATTATTGCAACAACAAAACAATAAAGCAATGTAGATTTTGTCATCTTCTAGAGTACATTTACCACTCTCTCTATCGGTAGTAAAGAAAAACTTTGAGGCCGCTTTTGAGAAAATCATGTTTTGTAATTTTTTAAATTGCTCATATTGCACGCAACATTACGAGAAAATTACACAATTTTTTTAAAAAAAATATATAAGAGCGCGGGCTTCCGCAGCCGGAGTCAGTGTGACGTCGCGACCATGGCAAAATGTGCCCATGTTTCGGTCACCATTCTGCGACCTTCCTTGCCCTGACATTACGCGCTGAGGACGGTCGCAGTGTGACGACCGAAACGTCGCCACCTTTGCCATGGACGCGGCGTCACCCGGACAGCTTAGTAAATTCTATTTTAAAAAATGTACATGACCTTAATGAGAGAACTTACAATGGAGACACCGAAAAGAAATCATCGTTTTGACTTTTTCCAAAATTCAGTTAATCGTTTAAGTTTATGTTACTCTATTCTTACAAGAAATTCAAAGAAAAAATTTGGAGACTTTTTGAGAAAATTTTGAAAATGTCCATGTAATTATCTTGTAAAGTACCCCCAAATTTTAAAGAATTTTCAAAATTTTAAAGATTTGACTCGAGCCAGATGGACAGGGGTTTCTTCGATTTCGAAAAGATCTTACGCATGGTTTAGGCGCTAGTAGTGTTCACAGATACCAGACGGACAGACAGAGGGACCGACAGGCAGATAGACACGTGGACGGACAAACGGAAATTTTGAAAACAACAATTTTCTTTTCAGGCGACCTTAAAAGATGTATTTCCGTCAAAAACTCTAAATTTATTTCCCGCAGCATTACATAACTTTCCGTATACTACATATATTACTTCGTATATACGTACGTATTCTGGGAAGTAAAACTGTAGTAGTGGGGGATTTTAGAATGGACTACGCGAGAAACAGACGTATCACAGAATAATTCAAGTTGTTACCAAATAATAAATGGACTTAAGTTCCCAGAAGACAATAACAAACATGTATTTCGCATGTCAAAAGAAATAATTGTAAAGACTGAGGGGAATAGCAGAAAAGGAAGAGAAAGCATCACTAGGCCGAATGATCGACAAAAATAACAGACACTAAGTGTAAAGAGAGCGAAGAAGAAATTATTTCATGTAAAACGAAAGTGAATTTTCAAAATGCTTCCTAATCATTTCCCTTAACAGGTGCGCATGCACTTGAAAAAATCATT